TCCGTTTCCTCACGTTCCAAATTGTGCGTTTCGTAATGGCGTTTTCACGAGCTCACCGCGCGCACGAGGAAAATAGCGAGCGCAACTGCGACGGCGTAGTAAAAAAAATCGTTATCTCTATACGCGTATCCATCACGTTACGATTTTTTTTTCTCAACGCGATCACCCATACAAGCGTAGCTACGATCGTGTGGGGGCGGGTGGGTGCACGCACGCATACACGCGCGATCGGTATCCACTGGCGATTGGTCCTCTTAACATATCGGCTAGGCGACCTACTACACGTGCCCCGATTCCACTCTCAAGGTGAATGACGAGCAATGAGTTATCGGACTTCGAGCTCAGGCATTTCTTCGCTCTGTTAGACGCTTTTGCCGCATTACCTGCGCGCGTGCGCGCGCGACTTCTAATCCGCGACACACTTGTGCCCGTATATTATTCATCGACCGCTCGAATATTTCAGTCATATCGCAAAGTAAATTGAAAAATTATGGCGAAAAATCGAAAAATCGACGAAAGACCGACGGTATATATTTTTCCTCGTGTTTTTTTCTTCCATTAATATCTATTATTATCGATTACGATATCGTACTGTTCCATAATCGATATTAAACGTTTTAGTTGTATGTTTCATAACTTGAATTTGTTTATAATAAATAGGAATTGTATTTCATATAAATCATGAAACAAAACATTCCAATTTTCTTTATGAATTTTAAAAAGATTTTAGAACTAGAGAAAGTAAAGAAATCCTTCCAAAAGATATATATAAATGAAATGTCATACATGCAAATCTTCCGTAATATTTCTTTCAAGCTTTTAATTAGTATCGTCTTCTACGAAACTCCACAAGATAAATTATAGTCTTTATAATTAAAAGTTTTAAAGACACTGTCGAGGAGCTTAGATCACATATTGTAATTTCTATTGAAGGTAGTATTTAATTGAATCGGGGTATGCAGGTCATATTCACGACTTGTGTACGAGCTAATTATTCTCGGCGACGTATAGTCAAATCAACGATGTTAAGGCTGCTGATATGGATAAACGCTTCATACTGCACGCCGCGTTCACCTATTCGTTCCTTAGTACGTAATCATGTAATAATGTCTATCAATATAAATCTAACGAAATGTCAAATTTTTGTGCAACAATTAAAAACAAATTGATATAAACATAAAGGCAATTAATATTTTAATTATTAACAAAAAAAAAACGAAAAACAATAACTTGTCAGTCAAATAATAAAAGTAGAATCTTGATAAAAAATGAACACATGAAACACTTTTATAGAAATCTGATTAATCCGATTAATTAGTGAATTAATTAGTATTTACAGAAATATTAAAATATAAACAATTTAAAAATATTTCAACAAAGACATCTCAGAATTACTTTAATTTAAAAATTTATATTATATAATACTATTGGTGCATTTACAGCGTAATATTATCGACGTTTTTTATTATAATGGCACGCGATATTCTTCAAATATTGTAGTTGTTTTTTTTCACGATTCTCTACAATAGGTAGTATTATTTGGCATGATTAAGAAGTCGCAATGAAAAGGAAAGCGATGTACCGTGTATAAATATATAAATGTTGAGACAAGGTACGCGCGGAGATGATAGCTGAACGACAGCATGACGACACCCGCCATTTCTCTCGGATAGTATGCAGATCTATTTTTGAGTGGTGGTTAAAATAGCTGAGCTTAAACTTCTGCTAGACACTGTCGGAGTTACCACGTCGGAAAGGAATTAGGTCAGACTTGAACGACAAAATAAGTATCAGCGGAGTAGTTTCAGATAGCGCTGATAGATAACAAAAAATAAGTAAAATCGATTATTAATGGCAACCTCGATAACTCTTATCTATCGTAGGGAAGGTACTTCTGTCCAGAAATGATGTCTTAAGAGTAATAACTATGTTTTTTTAAATAAGAATATTTGGATCTTTTTTCCCATGCTCTATTACCGTTACTCTTAGTAATTTGACAATTATGATAAAAAGCAAACATTTTCGTCTTTTAACAACTTCAAATTGTAATAAAAATGAAAAATTATATTCTTGTATATACTTAATAGCTACCTTCAAAGAAATATAATTCTTAAATAATTTAATAAAGACACTTTGTGTGTGAACTAATTTCGACTCTCTTTATTTAACTGTTATTTTGCAATCCGTAAAATTGTTATGGAAAATTACTAATATCTCGAATGGAATGTAAAAAGATCTGTCACAAAGAGCACAATAAATAAAAGTGATAACAATAATATAAATAAATTTTATCCAATAAGAGTATATATCAACAGTATTTTGTAACAATCCTATATTAAATTTATTTAAATTAAGCTTCATAGTCATGTGAAATCAGAATAATATTAACGAGATTATTTATTCATTTGCTAACTATCACAAAATATATATAATTCTAGTTTTAAGATTAATATCGTATTAAATTTGATATAACGTCATTGTACGCCAGATGTGAAAATAGAGCGAAGATATGGAAAAATATATAATCGAGGAAAACGCTGACCTGTATTTTCATCGCACGCCATTCATTCCATTATCTATTCCTTTTCTATTTCTATATATACTCGCTATTCAGTGATGGCACATGTGCAGAACGTAACGTGTTACGGAGATTACACCGAAAAGTGAAAGACTTTCAGAACACTTTCGATATACGGCTTCGACCTGTGAGTTTCCTTAGCACCTAGCGTACATGAGATATCGTTATCACATAGCTAGATATGCGAAATGCCGCGCGGTGAGAGATAACCCGGATTCTACCACGTAAAATTCCCTCATCGACGGAAAACGCACGCCATAGATGCCATTGCGACATCCTAGTATTAAAGACCCTATTATCAAAGTTTGACCACAAAGAATTTTGTGAAAATCCTTCGTTTTTATAATTCCTTCTATATATATAATTTTTTCCCGCACATATACATATACTACTTACTCTGTAATCTTAATTAAAGTTATAGAGTAAAACCGTATAAGTTAGAGTGAGATACAAATTAGAATGAGATAGTATTAGAATGACATAGGAGAAAAATTTATATATATATATATTTATCTTTCTTTGTTGTAGGATTCTAAAAAAATCGTTTGTGATTAGATTCTGTTACATCCAGAGAAAAGCTATGTTTAGATTGAAGAAATCATTTTTTTCGTTGATTTTTAAGTTGTTCATTTAAAATGAAAATACCGAAAAAAATATTTGTGAAGAAAATAAAAATTTATTTAATTTCGAAAAATACTACCTAATAATAATATATCTTTATTGAGAGCATAAATAACAATATCAAATTAAATAACATACAAAATAGTAACAATCATGTAAAGATAAATGATGTTCGAATCAAAGAAACTATTCTTTAACTGTAATGCACAAATTTCTTTAATTCAAATAAATTCTTTTTTAATCAAAGAAACTTTTCCCTAGGTGTGCGTATGCCAGATTTACATAGAATACAGGTCTCAGAATTAGACATATGATGTATTTCAGGTCGTAATAAGCTGTAGGACGTAGAACGTAGGACGCACTGAAGTTGGACGAACTTTAACTTTTGCGTTTTGCTTTCTGCAAGCGAAAATACGTCACGCGTTTTGCGTCCTATATGATCGGGCTTTAGAGGGTCTCTACGCGGCATGACCGCAGCATGCCACGTACATTTATGACCTAGGTCCGGTACGACATTATCGCGTCGTTAAAAACGACGATGTCACGGCTGTACAACTACCGAAACAGCCGTTGTGCCGGCTAAATTTAAATGCACAAAGTCTTTCTCTCTCTCTCTCTCTCTCTCTCTCTCTCTTTCTCTCGTTCTCGAGGAGCAGTTGCATAATCCGAAGTGACACGAGTAACGCATGCGGTACGGTGTCGTGGCGTACCAAAAGAACGCGAAACTGCGGAAGTAGAAGCGTAGCACGTTACCTTCCACAACGGCCTAAGAGACCGCATGATTGCCGGCGCAGTTTTACAAGCGAGTATCCTTGGCTATACTACCTGCTTCAACCGCGATCGATAACGCGATGCCACTCGGTTGTGAAAAAAAGTCGAGGCAACGAGTCCGTGCCATCGGTGCCCGCGAGTTGAGTAAAACAACAAACGGCGATCGTTCCGAGTCCCCCTTATTTTACCCTGGTGATCTGTGCAACCAATCGACGCGAATAGCGTATAGAGAAAAGAACGCAATCTAGCTGACGGCTGTGTAAGCGTAATTATCCGCACGTCGCTAATAACGTGATATTTTTATACGAAAACGAATCGCTAATTTACTCGATAATGATAACATCAGCGGTGTTGATTTTGCTTATCCATTAACCAATCAGAGGTGATTGATTTTTCACATGGACAAGGTAGAAAATCGGTTAGTTAAAAATCCCTCTCGGAAAACCTGGCATTCAACCAAATGGTGCTATTCGTCTTTACAAAAGTGCCTCATTCTAAAAGCGTGATTCATTCCGGAGATAAATAAATCGAAGTGTTCGATGCGGCAATGCTCCAGTTTACTTGTTTGGAACTTGAAGATCAACTTTAAAGTTGCAAAAATCAGATATCCCACCAATTAAATTAAATCACAACTCTCGCATTCATTTCCTAAAGTTGTGTAAAAAAAGTAGATTAGATCAGCATAACTTCTACGCGCTAGCCCAGCTTCCTAAATTTCATGTAGGACGGTATATTCAGCTGGGATCTTATATTTAAGATTGTTTTAAGATGCCACAAGCTAATCAGAGCTATTAGCATCTTAGGACGTTACTTAAGATGATCTTGGAATAAAAACCGAAAACTCTACATATAAATATACTAGGGTAGCGTTAAAAATTTTCACCCGAATACATTCAAATATTATTTGATTCTTGTTTAATTCGATATTTTTACAAAACAAACAAGGCTAAAGTGATATCTGAATATACCCGACTGAAGTTTCCGAACGTGGCTCAGCCGTAAAACTTGAAGAAAGAACCGGAAGACTCACTTGCTGAAACGGTGGCAGCTGCAGCAGATCCCTCTCCTCGGCGGCGGTTACCTCGAAGGTCGGTGCTGGTTGAGGTGGATATATGTTGCCCTTGCCGGGATACGACGTGCTTCGACGGAACTTGACCGGGCTGATACAGGAGGGATGCGCCGCTGCCGGGCCCGGATGGCCCGGGAATGTCGGACTCGGCTTGCGACCCTGCAGACCGGCTGCGGCCGCAACCGCTGCGGCGGCGTGCAAAGACGAATGCAGCGGTGGTATATTAGGTACGGATCTACCGCGGTTCCATGGCGACAGGCCCGGGCTGGCGACTGCGGCAGCAGCGGCCGCTTGCGGGCCCGCGCCCCATTGTTGCGGGGCCTGCGGTCCGCCTGACCACGCGGCGTATCCCTTGCCGGGCAGATAGACGCTTGGGTGTGACGTCGGTGGAGGTTGTTGCTGCTGCTGCTGCTGCTGATGCTGCTGTTGTTGCTGTTGCTGTTGCTGCTGCTGCTGCTGCTGCTGCTGCTGCTGCGCGGACGACACCTGCAGACCGCCGCCGTGTCTGGTGCCGGTGGGCGCACCCGCGTTACCGTGCTGTTGTTGTTGCTGCGGAAAATTGTGGCTAGCCGTGATGGCACGTCGTGTGCCGGTCGAAACCGCGGCGGCGGCACCGGTGCTGGCGAAAAGGCCCGCGGGTCCACCGGCTGGGAAATTCTGAAAGGCAGCGATCGAGCCGTTGACTGGTAACGCGGTGTGCAGACCGCCGTCATCGGGCGCGGACCAGAGGCTGGGTACACGGCCACCGGGATCAGCGAAGCCCTGCAAAGCTGATGTCGTGCTGCATGTAATGTCTTTCTCTGTCGACGAGGGCGTCGTCGGGGTAATGGCGATGTTCTCCGCCTCGATCACGTCCTTCGATTTGTCCTGTCCAGCCACGGTGTCGAGACCACCGCTCGGCGAGAGCGGAGCGGGCTTGCCTGTAGTTTGCTTCTCGATCAGTAGATCGTCCTGCATCGTGGATGTCGTTATGGTGACGGCGGCGCTGCTGATGTTGCTTGTGGTCGTACTAGGTTTCGGGCTGGTCAGGGTACTCGAGAAGAAGCTCGTCGCGCTGTAATCCCCCATAAATCACCGCGGAGCTTGCGATCGCCGAGCGTCTTTGCGACGTTGACGACTGTCGCGATAACCAGCAACGACCACCAGCTAGGCCCCTTTGGAAACTTGCTCCTCGTCTCCCACTCGGGTCTCGTTACTCGCGGCTCGAGGGTGCCGTTGTTGTCGAACGAAGGAGGACCGCTCGCGATCGCGTCCTCCACGTAGTGTAACTCGCCGTCGTAACTCGCAACTCCCGTTCGGCACGAGCGTGCGAGACAAACTATCGATCCACGGCCGCACGCGTAAAAACACCCACGGAGAGGAGCTTTCGAAAACCGAAAGACTGTGATCCTCCTTGTCACGTTGACAACTTCCTCCTCGTCTTCTTCTTGTCTTTCGCTCTTCGCTATCTTCCTTCCGCTGTTCTCTCTTTCTCTCTCTAACCTTTACTCTTTTTCTTGTTTAGTTTCCCACCTTCTATATCATGCCTCGATCTATTTTTCTCGGACTCAAGACATGTGTATAATCTCGTTCTCGTTTCTCCCTCGTTCTCCGATTGCTCCACTCACTCTCCTCAGAAAACGTTTCTCTAGATCCCACTGATGCCGTGTCGCCCCGGTACGATTCGGCAGCGACCCTGTCTCCGTGGCATCCTCTTGGTTGTCGGGGAGCCAAGCTCACTCGGCGACGCGCGTTGTCATTGTCGTCGCGACGCTTCTACGCGAAGCGTTGCTCGTTGCAAAACTGCCTCCTCCTTCCTAGATTCCTCCTGCCTCCCCCGTTCGATCGCTCACTCGCTCGTACGCTCGCTCGCCCCGAATACCACTCTCGTTTGTCGTGTGCGCGTCTCGTTCGCGGGCTATCCCCTGGCGAACATAATTTCGATCCACTCGGCGGGGATACACACTGCTGGACCACTTGGAATCCTCCCAAATACGCAGCGCAGCGCGCGCGACCTTTTGCTTGCCACTATCACACACACGCGACTACGGATACGAGGTCGCTCCGCGGATCGTATCGCGGAGGTGGTGGCGGAGGCGGAGGCGGAGGCGGAGGCGTTGGAGGACGGGAGGGAAGAGGGCGGGAGGGAAGAACGTGTATATAGCGTATACGCGATACGTTTCACCACCCCGTTTCACGGCCCGACGAAGCGAAACCGATTCACGTCCTTCGCGTGGCGATCGCCAGCGACTCCGCGACTCCGCGGCTGTCACACTCGAATCGCAGCTTTCCCCCGGGCGGCGTGTCGGGGCGGCGTGGCGGGCGAGTGAAGGAAGGTGGCTGATTTCGAGGATGACGATTCGAGACAGGATTCGCACTCGCGAAGCTGACAATCGTGCGCTACTCCCTCGACAACGTGTCGCCGTCGCCGATCGGCACCGATTGTTCCGCGTATCCCGCGTATCCGCGTCGCGGCGAATCGTCTGTCGCACGCGCGCGATCGATCGATCGCCGATAAGCTCCGTTTTACGTACGTGAGGTACGCTGACGCTCGGCACGGTCGGGGCTCGTCGATGTGGTTTATTGCACACGCGCGCGCACACCGTGAGCCTCGCGTGGACACTGTGACGAATGTGACGATACGCGGACTACGCGGAGCGCGCGGCGAGCCCGCGCCCAAGAGGGACGTAACGTGTGTCGTGCGCGGGGAGTCAGGTCAGGGTTACTACCACTGCGTCGCGCTCGCGACGTGTCTCAAGTCTCTCCACCCGGACGATAATCGGAGCGGAACGGAACGGAGCGGATTCGCACACTGCGCGGTAATCGCGGCTCGCGCGCGGCGCGGTAACCTGAGGGGCCAGCTCTCTTCCACACCTCCGCCGACGATCTCCCCGCCTACACGCGGTATCGTGCACCACCTCTGACCGCACACGTACGTCGGTCTCTCCCACCTCTCCACCTCTTCTACGAGGTACGACGGTCTAGCGTTGCCTCCTCCCGGTCGGCTCGCATATTTTCCCTATTTTCCCTCGGCGCGGCACTTGTGTGTTTCACCGTAGTCTATCTAGTAGTCTCTCCGTTTCCTACGTCGCGCGTACGCCCTCGCACCTCCGTCGACCACGCTCGAGCTCGAACGGAACGGAAGAGCGACAGAGGAGGGCTGGTGGAGGTGCAAGGAGGAGGAGAAGGAGGAAGAGGAGGAGGAGGCCCGGAAAACTCCAGCCAGCAGAGCGCGTTTTGACGACGCGACTTTCTGGTCTCTTCTCTGCCGCTGCTGCTCCTGCTGTTGCTGCTGCTTCTGCTGCTGCGTCGTCGTCGTCGTTGTCGTCGTCGTCGTCGTCGTCGTCGTCGTCGTCGTCGTGTATGCTTCTCGCGCGCGCGCGCGCCGCAGCAGTGCGATTCGTGCGTCGTGCCGACTTTTGGAGCACTGCGGCCGCGCCGCGGGTCGGGGCATGCCACAGCCCGTTCGGATATAAGTATCGTCGTGCGTGCAGCGCGTGAAGCCGTGCGCACTCGACGATCTTCGTCCGGCAGTCAGTCGTGCCGTGTACGTCTCGCCGTACTCCTTCTCGTGGACGTTATCGTCGTCGTCTACGTCGTCGTCGTCGTTACCGCCGCTCACGCAGGCGCCCTGACGTTGACGTCGCCACCGCCATCGCGGCCGTACCGGAACCACCACCGCGACGCCTGCCTCCCTCCACAACCGCGTCTATGCCGTTACCACCCTCTTCGCAACCCTCTAGTTATATATAGGGTGTCTTGAAATCGTGTCTCTTGAATATTGTTTTAGCTGTAAAGTCTATGATGAAAAGATAGATATGAATTTTTATCAATTAGATTTAGGGAGAGTTATATAGGAAAATAATACAGTTATAATTCCAAATAACACTATCAAATAGAAAATGAAAAAGCATAGGGCAAATTTTATTTTGAAATGAAATTTTTTTTTATTAATAATATAAGCAGTATTCGATATAAGAATTAATTACTGAACAAAAATGTTTTTAGAAATGCTGAAAATATAAAAAAAATTCGAAATTGTGTAGATATTTAATCTTAATCAGTATTCGCGGATTTAATGAACTGAACATTTTCTTTAATTACATTGTTTAAAATGTAATTAAAAAATTGTTTAAATATTTCATAATCTTACATAATTTTAAATTAAATCATCTAATTTCTCGAACTTTGATCTTCAAAATAAAAAAATCATTTATGTTAACTTTAAGCAAAGACCGTCAATACCAGTTAAAGAAATTTCGGAGAGAATACCGATTAGGATTAATCGAAATATTTTTAAGAGTTAAAAAATCAAGTTTCTTTTTTCTTTTTTATTTTTGAAATATATAAATAAACGGTAAATAAAAACTTTATTTTTTAATTAATTTTAGAATTGTTTTCTTGAATAATTGAGTTTAAGATTTATCAAAATATTCGATTGAAGGCAAACGATAAATAAGAATAACAATCTCTCACAAAGTTTTTATAAAAAAAAAAAATCAGGTTTTGATATTTCTTTTATGCATTCTGCGGTAAAAGACCATCAATAGAATCGAACTTTTAAAAAAATAAGATTCAATAAAATATGATTTTTCTACAAAATTCCTTAACTCTATCTTCAAATTTTAATTGAATCTTCTCAAATTTTATTCTGCAGCTTTTTGAGATAGGATTTTCGAAAGAACGGTATTATTGCTGTATAAAAGAAACCGGGAATCCTGATGTACCATCGAGGACTCGAAACTGTCTCAACAACAATCGACGCAAGTGTCACGAGGCGACAGCGGTAGCTTGATAAGCGCAGCGCTCGATAAGAGCCGAGAGAGCCGATTTCGGTTTACGTACGATGGAACAGAGAGAGGAAAAAAAGAGAGATGAAGCGAGGTACAGCCTCCGTATGGTGTCCGCGGGGGATTAGAAACGGCGCGTAAATAAAAATGTCACGACAAGGGCGATTTATAACGGTGGATAACGAGAAGATCGCGCGCGCGCATTCTCGTTGGAAGAGGAAGCGAATGTACGCGCATGCGCGCTTGCTACGATGGTGAAGCATAGGAAGTGTCCGTAATTGCACGCGAAATCTTGCATGCCTTCTCGATGTAGAGGTACCGTCTTGCGAGTAGGAGGCGCGACGCGCTGCCTTCGTCGCAGGTTGGCCATAAATCTCTCATGATTAGCCACGGGATGCGAATTACTGACCGTCGACGATGGCATAGATCAAGTCGCGGCCTACATTGTTCATAAATGCGCGTTCCCGCGCTTTGACTTGCGTAAAGCCCATTCTATAAATTAGTCGAATATTCTCTTTATATTCAACTGTAATTGGTCAATTCTTACAACCACAACTATTTACAACTTATGCTTACACAATTGTAGAATAAATTTAACAAGACGTACGGAATACTTTCATCCGCGATGCGGCGATTACCGCCGAGAACGAAAATAATCTAATCGTTTTGATGGATTCTTTCTTGATATCATCGATAATGTGGGACGATGATAAGGTCTTGGATTTAATCTCTTTGTGATTAGCGCGATCGTTACTTTCTTTTTTTTTTATGTAAGTACATATCATGTTTCACTGATTGAGATTCCATAAGAACTAGATGTAACATCGTAAGACTCATTTAACTCTATATAAAAATACAAAAATATTAACAAAATAAAAGGAAAAATTAAAGATAACTGTTATTTAAGGCTCGATCCATTCATCACGGATCTTTAGATTGATGACGTCAGAAATAAAAAAAACGTATAATGAAAATTCTTGCAAAATATATTAAAATATATATATTAAAATAGAAATATATTCTTTACTATTTTTTAATATATTTTTAATATATTTTTCGATATATTTTTAAATATATTTTTTTAAACATATTTTTCTATATATCATTCACTCGCAAAAAAACCGGAATACTAAATTTTTGCACAAACTTTTAATATTTTCAAATAGCAATAAAATATTAAAATTGAAAATATTAAAAATTTGTGCAAAAATTTAGTGTTCCGGTTTTTTTTGCGCGTGAGTGTATTTTTCAATATTATTAAAATAGAAATATATTTCTCAACAAAATAATATTTGTATTTGAGAGTACATTTATAAAATATACCGAAAACTTATTTTTTATTTCGGAATAGAATAAAATTTGTCTTTATCTCATTTGACAACTGTAGTTATATATATTTTTTTTGGTTAGACATAATTCAATTTCAAATATATGTAGTGATTATATATTTATTCATTACCAGATCACATAAACAGTTTTCAGTATGTTTTATTGCAAATAATATTTCATTATTACGTAATTTTTTTGCTTCTAACGTCACAATCTAAGATGGCTCTCAATAGTTGACAGACGTCAAGATAGAATTAAAATTAATTACTCTGTTTTCTGTTGCATTAGGCTGCACTAAAACTTTCTTTCTCACTTTCGGAAAATATCAAACATATACCTATTTCACTTTAAATTCTAAAAGTGTACACTGGTTTAGCACAGAAAGCAGACCTCATATATTTTTTTATCTCTAGACTATAAGATTTCGATCAAAATTGGAGTTTTTGCAATGAACAAGTATAAGATAATGGAATTAAACAATTTAAAAGCATATGGATTTATTTTCATTGTTATATCTTTTTTACCTTGCGCAAGTGAGATGATTTCGTATTCCCTCGATTATTTTGAACACCATACCGTCAAGAAGTATTGTCTTGGAGTAAATATATACTTTTATAATTAATTTATATACTTTTATAATTAATTAATTTAAAAACAATTTAGACGTTACTAGCGACGTACGACGATCTGTTGAAAGAAACTCCCAGTTTTCGCAATAAAAAAACGATTACCAAGACGAAAGTATCGATATTTGAAACGATGACTTCGCAAAGATGGCCGCAAATATTATATAGAGGGCGCTAGAGTGGACTTGTGGCCAAAATTTTATGGAGCGCCATCTCACGGCCGGAAAAGATACTTTTAGAGTGATTATATTCACGTCGATCGCTTTACAGTCTAGAGTCACGTCTTTCGTTGCATTACGCAAATACACTCTCGTCCCGTTCGGCTGCATATCATTGCGTTTTGACGTTTTAGTAGACAGAACATCACCCGTATAAGAATTGTCTCGTTGTGTATTTAATCAACATTAATTTGCAAAATGAACAGGCTCTTCGGACGTGGTAAACCCAAGGAACCGCCACCAAGCATCACGGACTGCATCGTGGGGGTAAGGAAGATAAATGTGTTGTTAAAATATATGATCATTGCTTGCTATTTTTTTATCGCAATACTGCGTCAATCACAGTACTCGTGGTGTAAAAATTACACCACGCCTGATTTTACATTGAGGCATAACATGTCGATAGCCAGGTATTTTCTAATTTTTTGAAACACGGGATCTATTTGTAAATACATAATGTTTTTCATCAAGGTTGACAGTAGAGCAGACTCTGCAGAAAAGAAGATAGCTAGACTAGATGCAGAGTTGAAGAAGTACAAAGATCAAATGGTCAAGATGAGGGACGGGCCAGCAAAGAATGCAATAAAGGCCAAGGCTCTGCGTGTGTTAAAGCAGCGAAAGATGTACGAGGCTCAAGTAGATAACCTGCGTCAACAGGCATTCAACATGGAGCAAGCAAACTATGCCACTCAGACATTAAAGGATACCCAGGCAACTGTAGTTGCTATGAAAGAAGGCGTTAAGCAAATGCAAAAAGAATTCAAAAATATTAACATTGATCAAATTGAGGTATGTTGGAAAATAATTTTATAATATAAATGCTTTGATTAAATGCTTTAATTCAATGCTACATATGTTGCTGTATACAGGATATTCAAGATGATTTAGCAGATATGTTAGAACAAGCTGACGAAGTACAGGAAGCGATGGGTCGCAGCTACGGAATGCCAGAAATTGATGATGATGAATTAGCAGCGGAACTAGAAGCTCTTGGTGATGACCTTGCCTTGGATGAAGATACTAGTTACTTAGATGATGCTATTAAAGCACCTAGTGCCCCAGACAAAGAACCTGGAACAAGTTCAATCAAGAACAAGGTTATTATTTAATATTGATACACAATTTTTTCTGGTCCTTTAAAGTTTATTTGTGTCACATGCTCCTATCGTAGATCTTACTCCAACACTTGGAGTGAATAGGAACTTTGATAGGAGGATGTTTGGAGCATGTGGTGAACACAAATCTTTACACGATGGGTTTGTGTCCTAAAAATTGACACATTTTTATTAAATTTACAAATATATAAAAATTAATTATATCTTACTTTAACGTCTTTAAATTATTATAAGGTATATATTTAAAAAATGTATATAAATGTGTCATAACTTTTTTTGATGCATCTAGTATTTTAAAGAAAAAAAATATATACGGTATGAATGACTTAATTATATGTATTAAAAATTAATAAGAATACTTGATAATATAATTCTATGCAGCAAGTTGATGTTATTTATCATCATGTGAAAACGTTATCACGACGTCAATTTAACGTCCAAATGACAAATAACATCACCTTATTGCCTGAAATGAAAGAGGAGTATGTATAGCTTGCAAATTCTTTAAAACTATAATTAGTCAAGAATAAGAGAGAGAAGATGCATATATAATTTATGTTACATATAAAAACCACTCAAGTTTCCAACTGATAAAATGTATGTGTTTTAAATGTGCTTACAGGATGGTGTTCCAGTGGATGAGTTTGGCTTGCCACAAATACCTGCTAGTTAAATTTAAAGATACATCAAAATTTATAGATAAGACAAATAAGCTTAAGATTATTCGCATGCATGCCCAAAGACGTAAGATCCTTCAAAAACAAGACATATGGCTTTTAATCGATACTCACGCAACACAAATTAATGCTCTAACAATGTTTTGTTGACGTAACTTGTGTAAAAGGTATTTAGTTTACTTCTGTATCAATAGATTTTTGTTACTGTCTTCAAAGTCACTATTTTTATTAAATAAATATTATATGTTGTACATAAAAATTAATAAATTAATAAATATTAATTATAAATGCAGGAAAATTTTTTGTTATGTATAAAAAATGATATAAGATTCATTCAAATTCTATCTTCTTTTTCATCTTCTTTTTACAAATTGATTAAATTACTTGCAATCTAGAAATACTCGTCTCTTCCATATTTTGTATTTCTGCATAACATTCACATAAACTGAGAATATTTTCTTTGCTCTCAATAAAATGCGTTTCTTCGAATCCATGTACTTGCGTATAGTGATGAACATGTGCCTAAAATGCAATTTTCAATTTATAATAAAATATATATTTTATAATCATGTAATCATGAAGTTAATGTTGAAAAATAATTTTTGTAATTATTTTGTAATTATTTTTTATTGAATGATATATTTTAAGAATAGCAAAAATGAACAATTTCAGAGACTAAAAAATTATGCCCATTTTTTTTTTAATATGAAGTTAAGTTTCATTACAATGTACCTTTTTCTTATACAATTTAGAAAACTCTCGGATTATATCCTTGAATAATGAAGACATGGCAGATGAATTAAGAAGACACAGTAATGATGATGAATGCCCTGCTGAAGGAACCGAACATAATCCTATTTTCATACAATCCCTACTCCACAAAGTAAATTTTGATTTGTTTTGAAATCTACGAAAAATAATATAATTAATATAAAATAATTATTGAATACTGTTATATGTCTATTTTAAAAAAAGCAAAAGAGATTAAACCTTTCGATATTTCGTTTTATGCCAGTCAAAGTAGCATTTCCCCTCGCAATGTGCGCTGCGGCAAGAATAACTGAAGTAGATTGAAGTGGATCTAATCTAATTAATTGATTATTTCGCGACCATGCATTTGTGAACATTTCGTCCTGCAATCTTAAATATTAAATTAATATTTTGCTGTTTTTTTAATTTCAAATACAAAATTTAAAAAAAAACAAGAAAGGGAACTAATATACTTTGCTTCTTGCATGGTGCACATATTTGGAGCAGATAAAGTGATAGGGCTGATACTGTTGAATATATAATGTAATTTTGGATAAGGTACTAAATTTGTAGCTATTTCATTCATATCCATATTTAAGCTTCCTGGAAACCTGGATCCACTAAAACAAATTACTATCTTCAAAATGCCACAAATCTTGTAATCACAGATCTAAAATTTAATTACCTAGTCAAGTGCAAGAGCATATTGACAACGATACTGTTCATATCTTGAAACGGTTTGCACGAGGCATTATAATTTACTTGGCCCGTGTTATCTCGTTTATTTATTTGAGCATTACATATATCTAAGAGAGCTTTATTCTCTACAGGAAGTACACATGTGGCATGTTCTATAAGTTCTTGAGTTGCAAGTAATGTGTTGTAAGGGGCAGTTATGGTATCTTGTGTATTTGCTGGATATACACATGACACAATTCTAAAATTATTAAATCTCATTTGTTAATTCTAAAATATCGCGCGCGCGATGATATATAATCTCTAATCTTTTACATTCTCAAGTTATATATGATCAAGTTTTAAGATTTAATTAATCTAATCAACATCTAAGTATACATATTAAATTAAAAAAGCACCTTTCTACATGAGGGTAATTATCTTTTAACAGTTTTAAGATTGCTGTTCCTAATCCAGATCCAGTGCCACCTCCCAAGGAATGCATCAATAAAAATCCATGAAGTCGATCACATTTTTCAACTATGTATCTTACACTTTCTTCTAAACGATCATGATAATCGTTACCGTGAACATGATATCCTATTGCCCTAGAAATCAAATTATTACACCACGAATTTTTGTAGTGTTATTTAATACATTTTTTTTTTTCACAAACTACCAATTATTTCCAGATCCTGGGTAATTCGTTACGATACATGTCCGATCAAATAATTGGCGCAGTGGACCTTGCTCAAATCTAGATAGAACGCTGTCTTCCATATCTACTAAGACAGCCTGCTTCAGAAAATTATTATTAAATATTAGAAAATATGTGATAACTTTTATTATTGTAGTTTTACGAAATTAAATTGAGTAATATTAAATACACACCCTAGCTTTAACTTTAGCTGCGTTTAAGTCAGCTACATCTTGAAAATGCAATTTAGATTTACTATTTGGAATATGAAAGAAACTAGAAAAGGCATCGGAAAGATCGCCAATATATTTGACATGATTTCGATGTACTTTGAGCAAATTGACATCACCGGTAGTAGTCTGAATGCCATATTCATGCAAGGCTAAGGGCCAGAAAGCTGATCCTATTTGATTCCCGCACTGGCCAACTAAGATATTGAAACAAAGAAAATAAAAAAAGCAATTTGTTTTTCAAGTCGACGCTGTTTTCATTGATAAAACCGTTTAAATTATGCCGGTTGTATGCATTTACCTTGCACTGTAACAAATTGACTCATTATTTTTATTACATTCAGAACCTAAGATGTCGATATAATTCGTCATTAAATCCAACAATTTCTACAATAAAAATTATTTCCTGTCAACTTGTTATGTTACGTTTGAGACTACGTCTAAATTGTTTGTTTACTTCAATTACACTCTTATGTTATTTCTACTATATTCGATTTCTACTATAAAGTCACGTAAATAGAGTTAAGATTTAAGAGAAGAAAGAGGAAAAGAAGAAGACAAAGACACAAAAGAATCAATCACAGAAGAGATGTTTTTGACATGTACGAATAAAGAAGAAATAGATGTTTTTATTGTGTACACATAAATGTTCCAGTTGGCAGACCAACATATGCACCTCGGCTCGCGAGATCTCGCTCATCTCGCAACACTCGAACAGTCGATAAAGATCGATTCGCTGCATCCGTTTTCTCGCAACAATTCGACAATTCATGTTTAAATCTTTTATTTGTCGGATTTTCGGTACGACCGGTCTGACTAGTGCCGGTGGTATGCAGCGAGTTGTATGGCGAAGGTAATACTAGTGAATGTGAGAAAAAATTTCGTTGAATCGGGAGAATGTATAGCGCAACTAGGCTGTCGAAATGGATTCTTCTGTGTCTCTATTTATCCCAATATGCGTTCGCACGGCGCATTCTCGACGAACCAAGTAAGCTTTAGTTAACCTCTCCGTTGACCAGAAGATAAGCTCTTTGATGATTCTGTTATCAGAAATTGTGCAATTGAGAAAAGCAACAATAATATATCGTTGATAATTAGCTGTATGATAACACATACGAGTATGTCTTCGTATGTCAGGCGATATATATACTTAATCATTAAAATGCTCCGAACAGAGTGCACAATCATGGTTACTTATTTTGTTATTAAAATGTATTTAATAGTCAAATTATAACTTTGTTATCCATTTCCTTAATCATTATAAGCTTAAAATATACAAGGTTATTTTAATTATATTCCTAAAATATTGTTTTATTATCAAGTTGTTAACATTCAAACCTTTTCACAACTTAAAATTGATAAAAGGAAATAAATTGCATTTTCTTTTTCTAAATGTTGTTGACTAATTTATGATTGTAAATATTTATTTTTTATATTTTATAGTTACGATATATTTTGGTACATGTTATGTTTCAGGAATACATTTTTTAAATGCAGATGACAGTGTACAAAATAATCATCCTGGTCTAAAAACATATTGTCACAATGCTACATCAAAGTATTTAACACATATGTGGAGAACAATGACTGTAAGAAACTTTCAGGAATGTACTTACATATAAAAGATTTTCATATATATATATTATATATAATACAAACTTTTAATATTACAGATGCATCTGAATATTAATTCAGACTCCTATATTTTATACGATGGCAAAACACCTCAAGAAATCCACCAAAAGTATGATGAAAATGATAAATCATGGAGTCTTAATCTGTTTGATACAGGAAAACATAGGCAATTTAAGATTAATCCATTTGAAGATACATGTATAGGTATTTATATAGATTCTCCCAGTGAATCTATCTATATAATGACACTGAAAGAAACACGTAAGCATCTGAATTGCTTTGAGATTACTCTATTTTGTAAAAATAATTGACAATATATCATCTTTCATCATCAGGTATCAATGTTTGGAGACTGACATTGATGGTAACAGGTATTATAATTTTCTGGTGTGCCAAAATATTAAGTCGGAATTCATTGTTTTATTATGCTTGTGGCATAATACTTGGAGTCAGTTTATCTATTATAATTTTAATATATGTGGCTGGGAAATTGATTCCACGGGTATTTATTTTAATATAAATACATATGTTTGCTTCTAATATATTTTTTAATAAAATATTGTATATACATATTTTTCTTGTTAAGGGAAAAACTATGTACGTAATATTTGCTGCATCGATGAGTCTTTATATTGCTAAAACATTATGGGAAAACATGCAATTAATTATAATGCAATATAGAGAATGGGTGATGTGGTATGTTCTTGTTACATCTCTGATTAGTTTCGTAATTTGCTACCGTTTTGGTCCAGTTACCAATACGAGAACAAAACAAATAATAGAATGGTTTTTGCAGGTAATGTGTCATCTTATTGTGTACGTTCTTTTTTTTAAATTTATTTTTAATTGTTTTATGTTCATATAGCTTGTAGGATTGGCACTGATTTATCACAGTAGTCACTTTCATGAAGCATCTTTTTCATGTTGCATTATTGTTATATTTTTCTATAACTTTCCGAAAACAGCATTTGGGCGAGCAAAGAGGTATTGGTAAGCATCGATATGATGTGTACTATATAATTATTAATTCGCTATTTTAGCCAGCTATAATCTATGTACTACACAAAATTGCAATTGTGTGAACATTGATCATTTTTTAAATTAATTGCTTGAATAAACTTCTAATTTATTATATATACATTCTTCTCCTTTTGTTTATTGTTTATTTTTTCTTTTTTGTTATCTGTATGCATTTATACTAATTTTATAATAATTTACAGTTTTGTAGATATTTAATATTATTTGAATAATAAGTTATGTATATATTGCTAATGCTTAAATTAATATATAAACATTATTTATCTACTAGTGCACAATTCTGTCTTAAGCACAATTATGTACGTTATATTTACTTAGTTTTATGTATTATGTTTAATTTTTATTATAAAATATTCATATATTATTATTAAGCTTAATATGTTCAAACAATTTTTGAGTAATTTTTGTACTTACAATGTATCTTGTATATTAAGTAGTTGTATTTTCAGTTTTTGCAATAAAATGCATTATATTCTTTTTTAGATTGCGTTTTATTCTTTATACAAATAAATTTTATTTAGAATTAATATAAATCTTACCTACATAAAAAATTTATAAGCGCATTATTAACTTGTCAAATATCTAATCTTTATTATGTTTGGCTGTGTAAATTTTTCAAATATGCAATAATCAATTATGTATTAAGTACACGAAGGTTTTTATATTTTTTTTCAATTTATGAACATGAAAATGAATGAGGTAATACAGAGCTTTTTCTTTTTTTAAATGAGGCAACACGTGTTTCCGGAAAAACGAAAATTAATTAATGAAGATCAATATCGTCAAGAAGGAATACGACAAACTAGGAAAGCTTTAAAAGGATTGCAAAACTATTGCTCCAGTCCGGAATGCAATCCTTGGAAGACAGTTTTAAAACTGAAAGATCCGATAAGGTTTCAGTTTGTTAAATTTAATATTACACAATATGTAGTAAAACGTCGTAATTAACAATATAGATATGAATCTTTCAGATTTGCGAGATTTATGGAAGGAGAATCGCATTTATTAGAGGATGAAATTGAAGAACACGAAGAAGAAACTTCGAAAATTTTAGAAAAAGGGGAATACACAGATGATGATGATGACTCTTTTTGAATAGAAATGCATCTTCTTTCCTAGATATTAGATCCCAATCTGAAGAGTTACAGTGTCCGAGTACAAATGCTTAAATAAGAATTTCATAAGAAGTATCATGTAAAAATTCATATTTACTTCTTATAACGATAGTTTAAGCCTAATAATAATATATATAGTATTTATTTTTTGTTTGTGTGAGTTAATAAAGATTTTTCACTTAAAGAGATTGTGAAATAGGTACTTAAAATAATAATATAAATTAATTTGTCTATATCTTTGCTTAAACAATTCTATGTGACGGATTCCTCTAAAATATGTATAGCTATACATGTTTATGAAATAATTTTTTTATGAAGATGACGTGTGTCTTATATTAGTAATATTTTTCTGATTATACGAGAAAGATTGCATAAAAATAAATAAAAATTTTACAATCCAATTATTTTGTTTATTTTTTTTATTTATATTA